TGTCCGATTTCATTGGTGATTTCAAATATGAAATTTAATCGTAAGCTTAGTGAACAATTTTGGAGAATTTGATGTTTCCCCATTCAAAGAGATAGGAGCTGCACCTGCATGCCCGAAAGGCGTTTCAAAGATGGCCGCCGAGTAACATGACTTGCCTTAAAGGGACTTTGCTAACAGTGCAAATCCTAATGGTTGACCAGAATTTTTTGCAGTGCGATGGAAAATAAATTCTGAACAGACGCATAAACAACGATTCATTCGTAAAAAATGTTTATCGCTCTAAATTTGCAACTTAACATTTGTCTTGGAGTGAACAGGACTTTATGGTGTTGTTTTGTCACTTTTAAATGTGTGAAATTATTCCAAAAATTTACTTTTGTGTTCCTTTTGCGGGTATATAATGACAATATTTTTATTTTGGGGTAAAATTGATTTGTTAATTGGTTGGCAAAAAAGCACTGGCCTATTGCATTTGCATAGAACAAGTTTTTGCGTTAAAAGAGATCTTAAATAAGAAATAAGGCTTTAGGGTATAGTACTCATTACATGTGAGTATGTACTGTGGTTGGACTAAGGTCTTTCTGTGGTGAACCTCAGGGCACTAGGGGGCTTTGTTTCCCATAGTGTTGGTTTACTCAGGGTCTCGGCCTGGGAATCAAATACAACTGACATGTCTATTGTCCCAGCACTGTTAATGTACACCGAATAAAGGCAGGAGACAGATCTACAGAAACTGACAATAAATCCATTAATAAAACGTCATTAATATCACACTTTTTATCTCTCCCGACAATTAATTCACAAGTCATTTGTGTCGCTATGTCTCATTTGCTGTGTAATATTCACACTCACGGATCCAGCTCAGCGTTCCCTTCATGCATTTGTAAAAATTTTCTTGTCATGAACAAGAGTAATATGTATAGAGAGAACAGATCCAGACTACATTTACAGAGCTCACAGTATCATCTGGCAGGCTGAATAGGTTGGTGTGGTTGCTTCAGGTGTGCTGAAGAGCTGGAGGAGGTGCAGAAAGCATTTTACAAGCCCTTACTGACAAAGACACTGGAAATGCAAAGCCAGAGGATCCAGTATGGGGGGAAATCCCACCTGGAGGAAAACAGTCATTAAAACAAGATTTAGATGTGTTTGTCTGAGGAAAATATAATCATGGCACCACAGTGATAAGGCGGCTGCCAAGGCATTGCTAGGGTGTTCTGGGTGGTTTCTAGGGTTTTGCTAGGTGGTGTCTGCCAACTCTCTAGGATATTCCCGTCTCTAGATATAGCTCATGTTCAGTCTGTTGGATATTTACAACTCAATTTCACAGCTATTCATAAATATTTTGTATTGTGGCAAATTGGTGTCTAATTTGTTGAGTACTACAATCTCGTTTGTTTGTTTGGTCTTACTTTAGTTCTCGCTATTAATAAACTATTAACTGATGTTTGCCTCAATACACTCCTAATTTGCTGCTTATTAATAGTTAGTAAGGTAGTAGTTCAGTTTGAGCATGGAGTAGGATTAAAGGATCTAACATATGGTCATGCAGAATAAGACATTAATATGTGCTTTTTAGTTTACGTGCAATTCACATTGTACAAATTCATATGAAATCAGCACCTCATAAAATAGCTATGTTTTCCTGTGAGATCGGGTTGGTTTTTGTTGCTTATTTTATCATTTGCCAGTCAGAAATTGTAAGCCCAACTGCTTTGAAAAGTATAGCATATCTCTCACAAGTTGTGCAAATTTGGGTATCATTTATGTCTGTAGAACAAATGCATGAGCAACAATGTTTGTCTTAACAAGCACCACTAATTTACCCACTATATTTAAATCTGGTTTTGAAACCTGTTGGATATGGAAATCTTTACCCCAAACATATTTTCTGGAGCTGACGAGTATCTCATAGTGTGATTGAGTCTGCCTTTGCCATTTCTAAGGCACCAACTGTACTTTGCCATTTCCATTTTGCCCAAAATATTTTTTATAGATTCAGATCTGTTTGGAGACTCATATCTGCTTCTGTGTTTTCCCATGAGCTGGAGTCTTCCTCCCTCTTACAGAGGCTGGGGCAGTCTATCATTTTCCTGTGATCTGCCATCTACAAAGCTATTATTTTAGTTCAGTGGTTGTCATTTGTGTCGCTATGTCTCATTTGCTGTGTAATATTCACACTCACGGATCCAGCTCAGCGTTCCCTTCATGCATTTGTAAAAATTTTCTTGTCATGAACAAGAGTAATATGTATAGAGAGAACAGATCCAGACTACATTTACAGAGCTCACAGTATCATCTGGCAGGCTGAATAGGTTGGTGTGGTTGCTTCAGGTGTGCTGAAGAGCTGGAGGAGGTGCAGAAAGCATTTTACAAGCCCTTACTGACAAAGACACTGGAAATGCAAAGCCAGAGGATCCAGTATGGGGGGAAATCCCACCTGGAGGAAAACAGTCATTAAAACAAGATTTAGATGTGTTTGTCTGAGGAAAATATAATCATGGCACCACAGTGATAAGGCGGCTGCCAAGGCATTGCTAGGGTGTTCTGGGTGGTTTCTAGGGTTTTGCTAGGTGGTGTCTGCCAACTCTCTAGGATATTCCCGTCTCTAGATATAGCTCATGTTCAGTCTGTTGGATATTTACAACTCAATTTCACAGCTATTCATAAATATTTTGTATTGTGGCAAATTGGTGTCTAATTTGTTGAGTACTACAATCTCGTTTGTTTGTTTGGTCTTACTTTAGTTCTCGCTATTAATAAACTATTAACTGATGTTTGCCTCAATACACTCCTAATTTGCTGCTTATTAATAGTTAGTAAGGTAGTAGTTCAGTTTGAGCATGGAGTAGGATTAAAGGATCTAACATATGGTCATGCAGAATAAGACATTAATATGTGCTTTTTAGTTTACGTGCAATTCACATTGTACAAATTCATATGAAATCAGCACCTCATAAAATAGCTATGTTTTCCTGTGAGATCGGGTTGGTTTTTGTTGCTTATTTTATCATTTGCCAGTCAGAAATTGTAAGCCCAACTGCTTTGAAAAGTATAGCATATCTCTCACAAGTTGTGCAAATTTGGGTATCATTTATGTCTGTAGAACAAATGCATGAGCAACAATGTTTGTCTTAACAAGCACCACTAATTTACCCACTATATTTAAATCTGGTTTTGAAACCTGTTGGATATGGAAATCTTTACCCCAAACATATTTTCTGGAGCTGACGAGTATCTCATAGTGTGATTGAGTCTGCCTTTGCCATTTCTAAGGCACCAACTGTACTTTGCCATTTCCATTTTGCCCAAAATATTTTTTATAGATTCAGATCTGTTTGGAGACTCATATCTGCTTCTGTGTTTTCCCATGAGCTGGAGTCTTCCTCCCTCTTACAGAGGCTGGGGCAGTCTATCATTTTCCTGTGATCTGCCATCTACAAAGCTATTATTTTAAAGGCAGATCAGAGTGGGAGGGTGGTGGCGTTAAGGCTCCATGAAACAAGTGGAATCAAGCCTTGACCCAAATGCACAAACAGGCAAAATGAATCATAAAACTAAGATAAATCTCTGGTAATGTTATTTGAATGTTAGAAAGAGCTCATGTGAGGTCACTGATTCATTTCAGTGTGCTTCCTTCCCTGGTCTACATTCAGTCGATTCATGCTGTGTTGACCTGGGGTCAGTCGTTTGTTGGTGATCTGTTTTGAGTATTGCTCTTATCAGGACTCTTGTGTAATGGCAGTTCTGCTCCAATCAGCTCATCTGAGGGAGTCAAGAGTCTTGATTCTCAAAAGAAGCTGAACAAACACTTATTCAGACTGATATTTAGTGAGATAATCTTAAGAGATTTTACATAAAATGTGCAGCTTTCCAAAACAAAGCTTTTTCAGACAGTTTCAAATGTGTTTTTGGGAACAGTGGAGAGTTTAGGGGGGAATGGATACATTTTTCATAAGCTTGTGCCATTAAAGGGGTCATATGATGCGATTTAAATTTTTCCTTTCTCTTTCGAGTGTTACAAGCTCTTGGTGCATAAAGAAGATCTGTAAAGTTGTAAAGACTAAAGTCTCAAATCCAAAGAGATATTCTTTATAAAAGTTAAGAGTCAACCACGCCTACCTAAATCAGAAAGGCGGGGCATAGAGGAGAAACAATAATGTAAAGTATGTGGAAAAAATTTGTTTTTTTAACCTTAAACTGCATAAACACATTTCATTACACCAAATACACAAAATAATGTTATTTTTAGCAACATCATATGACCCCTTTAAGTAAATGGGTCAAAAAATAAAACAAAACAAAAAAAATATCCAAAATCAAAAGAAAAATTTCTACATTTTTATTATTACCTCTCTTTTGCACATGCAGCGCTGTAGTGATGTCTGATTTGTGAATCATTTGCGCCGATTCTGTTGAATGATTCAACTGATTTGAAAACTGTTTGTAGCCCATTTCACTTTTTTATTTGAAAATAGTTTTGCTTGAAAATAAAACCTAATGAGGGACCATTCCATAATAATGTTTTATTGACAATTAAGCACATTTTCACCCAATTCTGATTATATTAATGTAGAAAAAAAACGTCTTATTACTGTAATGTAAAAAAAAAAAAGTCTACATTTAAATTTGAGTGTTTATCATGATAGCACTGATTTTATTATTTAAAAAAAAAGAATTGTCATATTATTATATTAACAATCATGGAAACTAAAATAGTAATTTTATAGTCTTAAAATCATTAAAATAATTTTTCCTATGTTTTTCCTCTAGATTTTGTTGTGAAATGTGACCTGGACATGTTTTCTCAGGATTCATTCACACCACTGTGTTAAAATTTGAATAACAAAACATTGAAAAATAAAATCTTATGTGCAGCATAACAACAAGTGAAGGTTTGTGTGTAATAGTGTGTGTGTGTGTGTGAGAGAGAGAGAGAGAGAGCTCTTATCAGACTTGTGGGATATAGCCTATCTAGTCCTCTATTTGGGGAAGCGGGGCTGGTGAAGTGTGGCGAACAGGGGCAGGCTGGAATTCGCTGAGGGTGTGTGGAGGCGGGGAACTGAGAACAGCGACAAACACCTTACAGCTCAGAGCCACAGAGTGAAAGAAGAGGCTTTCCTATGGCGTGTAATTGACCAATTCAATCTCATTGGCTTTGGTTGTGCAGGTGATAGAGAGAGGGAGAGACAGGGGGAATATTAAATATGGCTGGAAAGTATCTGCACTTGTACGTATTCGTAATGTGCGCGATTCAAACGAACACTGGATTTAACATTGACCTGCAGTTCCCGGTCATCAAAGAAGGAAAAACCAAGGGCAGTTTATTTGGATTTTCTGTTGCATTGCACAAACAGACCGAAAAGACAAAGAAGAACTTGTAAGTAGCCTTACCTACCTCAGTTGCCCGACATACGATTTTACATATGTCGAAAGTTGTTTGTTTGGCTTCTTTTCTGTCTTTCTGCTCTGGTCCAACACAGACTACAACAAGAAATATAATGACACGTATTCAACAGCACAAATCTTTAAATATTTATGCTCCTTGGATGGATTCATTCACATGAATTAATATCTACTTTGAATTATCTACATAGACTAAACCTCTCTTTCGCACCTGCAGCGCTGTAGTGATGTCCGATTCGCGAATCATTTATTTGAGTCGATTCTGTTGAATGATTCAACTGGTTTGAAAAGCGTTTGTAGCCTAGTCACTACATAATGATAAGAGTAAAACTAACATAATATCTAGACAAAAATGTCTAGAGTATTATATTACTAAATATTATCATTAATAATACTGGAAACTATTGGCAGCTGCACGATTGCTGGTTTATCATTAGCTGGCGCAAGCTGGTAGTCCATCTTAGACCAGCAACCAACCAGCTACCAGCTGTTAATACCAGCGCTGCAACCTTTAAAAGCATTAGTATTGAATGTTCAGTGAATCGGTTCATTGAAACGAATCTCAACGCTACCCTGAAACGCAAACCTGTTTTCATTGTGAGCGTCCTCAACTTTGACAAACTGCGCAGACGCCATCATTTACTCGTCTACTGTATTTATTTTTGTGTTGTCCTGCTTTATCTATTATGACTGAAGTTCTCTTAAACTGAATGTGCTATAAGAACACTAATAATACCTTGCTTCATACTACAGTAGGCCTACTGTTTTGTTTTTTTTCTTTTAAATATCATGGTAAAACATTGCCCATAATGTCATGTTGTTCATATATAATATTCATTCAGCTCTATGCTACAGTATATGTCACAATACTGACATCTGATGCCATCACTGTATAACACCACATTTTTGATATATTTACTTTTAAGTTGTTCCATACTTTAACATGACTAAAATTGGCACCATTTTATTATACAGCAAAGGGCGTGCAAGGTGTTTTTATGATCAATATCGGTTTACAATTTCTACAGACTTCTAGTTACCCTCTGAGGTCATTTCAATACAAATCCGGTGAAATAGGACGGGTGTTAACATGCCAACAGATGCCAGGAACAGTCAAAACAATAGGATTGTGTTCAAAGCATGTAGCTGCAGAAGGCAGGACAGTAGAATGCTGCAGCTTTGAGATCACTGCATTATCTTTCTCTTTGTTACGAGAAATGAGAGATAAGTCCAGATGAACCTGTATTAGACTAATTTACTTTTGCCGCTGGCTGTGCCAAAGAAAAGTACACCCCAGGACATGGATTTATAGCTGAATGTGGGCTGGGCTTTCGTTTCAAAGACAGGAAACAATCGGGTATAAACACAATCCTTTCTTTAGGCTTATAGACTCTAAAAAATGCGGGGTAAATACAACCCAGTGCTGGGTAAAATAGGGACAAACCCAGCAATCGGGTTGTTTTGACCCAGCGGTTGGGTTACTACCCAGAAGGTTGGGTTAAACATTTAACCCAACCGCTGGGTCAAAACAGCCCAATTGCTGGGTTTGTCCCTATTTTACCCAGCACTGGGTTGTATTTAACCCAGCATTTTTTAGAGTGTACAGTTGTTATAAGATACAGTCTGTTATTAGTAGGGTACAGTTCTGTTTTCTTGCTTTAAAGTAGATATCTTCAAAGATATCTACAGGTTTTGTACGACAGAGCTTTGTCATGCCCTCATATCCTGTGCCGGTATAACCTGTTGCTGCCTGCAGACTGTGTATACTCCTGATAAACCTCTTAACCTCTCAGTGGCTGCTTTCAAAAGGACAACTCTCAGCAATGGCGTGCTGCTATATCAAAGCGTGTAGGTACCAAAATTAGCAGCACAAATGTGGGTCAGCAGACTCAGCACATCCCTTTAGTGAGAAAATGGATTGAATGTGCTATATATACTTGTCAGTGATGTATTTTGTGAAGCTGTCAGCTATACCTCTGTTGTGGGATGGTATAGGGAGTTCCCCCAAATTGCTCTTTCCTTATTTGTGATATCCTGCTAATTAAGAGCCTATCGTCTAGTTTCATCTACAGGCCCTGAAAGCACTTCAATGAACCGAGGAATCTCCTTGGCGCATGTTTTTGCAGATGAAAGTAATCACCTAAATCACTTCACCTCTCTGCTTCATCAAGCTGTTATAAATTTGTCCACTTAATGTAGTGCTATTGATGAATGCTGTGCCCTCTGGGGAGCAACATGGTCATGGTGAGCGTGTCCATCGATCATAGACGGAAGGGGACAGAAATGGCATTTAGGATCTGAGTCTAGGATGGCTAGATGGGCAGATGCACGGTTAAAGAAGAGCCAGCTGTGTTCCCTTTAATAATCTGCCACTTAAAAACACCCTGTAAGATGCGTTATATGCTGAAAAACTAACAGCACGCTGGCTTGTGAAAGGCCAGCTAATAAAGTCAGAGCAGTGAACCTGGGAGAATCTCATAAAAACTCAACAAATGTAGGTAACACCTTTAGAATAGGGAACACAAATTTGCTATTAACTAAGAGTTTTCCCTGAACAAACTCCTAATTTGCTGCTTATTAATAGTTAGTAAGGTAGTTGTTAAGTTTAGGTATGGGGCGGGATTAAGGATTAAAATATAGTCATGCAGAATAAGGCATTAATATGTGCTTTATAAGTACTAATAAACAGCCAATATGAAAACACACACACACTGTGAACACACACCCGGAGCAGTGGGCAGCCATTTTTGCTGCGGCGCCCGGGGAGCAGTTGGGGGTTCGGTGCCTTGCTCAAGGGCACCTCAGTCGTGGTATTGAAGGTGGAAGAGAGCGCTGTAAATTCACTCCCCCCACCTACAATCCCTGCCGGTACGAGACTCGAACCCGCAACCTTTGGGTTACGAGTCCGACTCTCTAACCATTAGACTTTCCCACACTAGTAATACACATGCTAATAAGCAACTAGCTAATAGTGAGAACTGGTCCTTAAAATAAAGTGTTACCCAAATGTAATGTAATATATATATATATATATATATATA